ATCAGAAGAATAAATAGACCCAGATGTATAAAGAAGAAACATTTTGAAGTTTTTCATCGTGTGTGAGCTGCATGAGTCTATACAGTACTGCTAACACAAATTCTGCTGGCACCAGTTCAGCCTCAGCTGGCACCAGCTTTTCTGTTCATTTTAAGTAATGTGTCCAAAGATCCTATAGCATTGAGAAGGCATGTCCATTCATCCTCTACCAATTTGGTCTGACTTGGATCTCTGAGTTTAGTAGTATGGTCTTGGCATTTTTCAAATGTTTTTGACAATGACCCACTATAAGAAAAACATTTTAAATATGGCACCTGCACATATCCATTCCACCCCACATACACAACCTGAAACAACAGTTCCACAAAACATTGTAAATGTGATACACGCTTATTACATCTTTTATAAAATGCTGGTTAGAGCTAGTACATTTGATTTCATGGCCTACTACTAATGTTTCAGAAACTTTGGTCTAATGTATATCTGGCATTGTGTAATTCAAGTAAATTTCTCAAGATCAAATGACAGAAAAGGGAACTATTTGAGAATGTGAGGAGTTGGGAAAAAATGCCTGACGACAGAGAGCTCTGGGGAGCAAAACGGCTTACATGAGGAGCAGCTGATCCCTGAATACAGGAAAGCTCAGGAGTAAAAAAAAATCTAGAGTTCACAGCAGCATCTGTTTAAAAAGGAGAGCGCTAAGAAGAGTGCAGGAATAACGAGTTGGAGGACTGAGACTACCCAACTGTAAGACTTACTGTAACGCTACAGTAATCAAGACGGCGTGGTATTGGAGAAAGGCTAGACAAAGAGATCCATGGAACAGAATAGAGAGCAAGAAATAACCCCCATAAATATAGTCAGCTGATCTTTGACGAAGGAGTGAAGGCAATATAATGGCAGAAACAATTTGTTGAAGATTGATATCCACATGTAAAAAAAAATCTAAACACAGACCTTGTACCCTCCATAGAAATTGACTCGAATGGATCCCAGACCTAAATGTAAAATAGAAAACTAGAAAACTAGAAGATAACATTAAGAGAAAACCTAGACGACTCTGGGTATGGTGATGACTTTAGATATAATACCAAAGGCACAATCTGTTAGATGTTTTGCTTTACACCCACAGCCTCAGCTCCTTGCCCCTTGGTGCAGACAGGAGGGGACTGACAGCTTCTGGTCTACAGCAACCAGAGGGACCAAGGGAAAAGAGTATGATTTTGTGGATGCATGAGCTTCAGCTCACTGCCCCCACACAATTCTGTCCCAGGAATTAATATCTGAGAGCTGAGCTATATAACCTAAAGAAAGTTCAGCCATCTCATTGAATGTATGTATTTTTTTGGTTGTAAAATCTCCTTCGCAGTTAGCATTATATCTTTTTAAAAAATTTTAACCAAATTTGAGATAAGATTTACATACAATAAATGTTGTCGTTTTAGGTGTATAGTTCAATGAGTTTTAACAAATAGATAACTCATTTAACCATCACAATCCAGACACTGAACATTTCTGTCACCCATGACCTTTCTCAGCAATTCCCATTCTCCACCTCTGGCCCCAGGCAGTTTTGGACAGAAAGTTTTGCTTTTACTCGAGTTTCATATCAGTGGAATCATTCACCATGTACTTTTCTTTGTCTGGCTTCTTTTGCTTGGCACTGCGTTACTGAGACTGTCTGGGTTGCATATGTCAGTAGTTGATGCCTCTGCTGGAATCCACAGTGGGATTCCATTGTGTGGATTTATCATAATCTGTTCATCCATTCATCTGTTGATGTACATTTGAATTTGGGGCTATTATGAATAAGGCTGTTATACATACAGGTCCTTTTTGCAGACATATATTTTCATTTCTCTTGGGTAAATATCCAGGAATTGAATTGCTGTGTCATATGGTAAGCGTAGTTTAACTTTATAAGAAACTGCAAGAACACATTGTATTCTTCTTAGAATGTTGATTTTTTTTTTTTGGCAGGAGTTGTTGTTTTGCCTTTTGTATTGTCTGTACCTCTCTGTTCCCATTGGATTTTGTAGACTAGATACTGTAGACCAGGGTTCTCCAACCCCTGGGCAAAGGACCGTTATCCATCCATAACCTGTTAGGAGCCGGGCTACACAGCAGGAGGTGAGTGGCGGGCAAGCAAGCAAAGCTTCATCTGTATTTGTGGCCGCTCCCCAGCACTAGCCTCGCCGCCTCAGCTCCACCTCAGATCATCAGGCATTAGATTCTCATAGGAGCACTGGTCCCTGGTGCCAAAAAGGTTGGGGACAGCTACTGTAGACTGTCTGAAAACAGGTCAGTGTGTCAGTGGCTATTTGGTCTAGAAGTTCTGGATTAAGGTCAGGGTCCATTTTCGGTGAGACACTATTGGGTTATTGCTCATGCTAAAAAGAACAGGCAGTCTGGATAGAAGGGTGTAAACAAACAGTGTATGCTCTTTGGAAGAGACTGTGGTTCAAGGCTGTGAGAAAAGGCTACACTTGCACCAGCTAAGGAAACTGCTGATTCCTGAAGGATGCAACGTGCTTTCAGGGGAAATTGTTCCCTGTGGGGAAAATGGAGGGCTTCTAACTCAGCTGTTCCTTAACTTTCCTGCCCTCTTTGGGAGAGAACCCAGTGGCCAGCTCAGTCTCGGAATTATTGAGAGTTGTCATGTGGTGGATGTAGAACAGGGAAATTGGCTCAGCGCCTAGTTCTGCTTCTAACTAGTAGAGCAAATGGACATGAAATACCAAATCTACCCCACAAGTTTGAAATATGTGAGAAAGGTGTTTTGTAATAGAAATAATAGGGAAGTGTAAATTGCTATTCATTTATACACTAAAGAAAAGCCAAGACGCATTACTTGTCCTTTTCTACCATTTTTTTTTTAAGTAAATATGCTCATGATAAGACTCAAATTTCTGATCACCATTTTGTAACGGTTAATTTAACTGAAGATCACATTTGTCTGCTTAAATGCAGGTGTGTACTTGTAGGTGTTCTCTAAATATGTTAAAAGTAATTCTGGTTTCATATACAAGTAGATTTGAAAAATGCTGTGTTGCAGTCTCTACATGCTGGCTGTCTTGTGGAAGCACTCTGAGTGTAATGAAGTCATTTTTGTATCTCATTAACTTTGTTTCTGGTGTATTAGTTATCTATTGCTGTTTAACAAATTCCCAACAATTTAGCAGCTTAAAATCACACACATTAGTTATTTTACAGTATCTCTGGGGTCAGGAATCCTGGCATGGCTTAACTGGATCTTCTGTTTCAGAGTCTCTTACAAGGCCACAGCTAGGGCCTCACCCAAAGGCTCGACTGGGAAGGAAATCACTTGTGAGGTCACATGGTTGTTGGAGGAGTTCAGGTCCTTGAAGTTTACACTGGGAGCCTCAGCTCCTAGTTGGCTGTTGGCCAGAGACCACCCTCAGTTTCTTCCCATATGGGGCTTTCCAACATGGCAGGTCGTTTCATCAAACATGCAAGCTGAGAAAGCAGTAAAGAGAGTCTTCTAGATGGAAGCCACAATTTTATGTAACCGAATCACAAAAAGTGACATCCCACCACCTCTGCTCTATTCCGTTGGGTAGAAGCAATGCATAGGCCATACCCACACTCAAGGGGAGGCTTCTACAAGGGTATGGCTTCCAAACCACGTTAGTCTCTGCTTGCCTAGCTAGGTTGCAGTGACACCTGCCTACCTCTGAAACCGAACACACTGCAAATAGTTGCCTAGAGATTCTAGTGCCAAGTGAACAACTCAACCACAAAAGTAAGAATTAGTGCATACGTTTGGTGCAAATGATAAAGGATGATCCGGAGTCTTTTACTCTTCTAGACTTATAGGAAATGGGTAGAACTAATGGGCTGTCAGTAGAATTTTCTCATATATCAAGACCAGCATCCTGCACAGAGCCTGACCCAAAGGAGGCCCTCAGTAAGGCCTGTTTGCATGAATAGACTTTAGTTTCAAAATATAGCTTAACTCAATCGGTTCTATTGCCCTGCTTTTTGTAACAAATATTTTATAATATTCTTTCTCCTGATATGAAATCCATAGAGTTTACCTACACACATAATTTCAGAGCATCAATATGACTTAACTGTTATATAAAAGACAAGAGTAATTTATAATAAAAACAATGTGTTTCAGTATGTAAGTGCTCTAAAACAACGTGGTTAAGTTCTTGCTTCTGAATTTAGATTCACCATTAACGAATGACACAGCTATAAATACAGATAGATACTTGATAATAAGTGTGTGCAATTAAGGACCCAAATCCTACAATTTGCCACTGGTGAAGTAGTTTTTTACCAGAAAGATGAACAATTCTTGGAAACATTCTGAACAAAACAAAACAAAAAAAATCATCCCACACTTTACACAATAGTTGTATTCCTAGAAAATTCAGTATATGTTCAAATTATACAAGCTACCTTCTTTTGGAGTTAGATTAGGCTAAGTAATTATAATAAGGTTTTCATCTACAGGTATGTCACACAGAACATTGGAAAGCATGAGGGCCTTGAGACCATTTATTATATAGGACTTTGCTGCACTTAGCAGAATGAATGGCAGAGACCTGGCGCTTTCCCTATACATACTCCCCCACTTCCAGGGATGCCCCCCAATTATTGAGACAACAAAAACACTCTGGATTTCACTAGTGAGCAGCACCACTCCCTATTGAAAACCACTCCAATAGGACTTAACCTCTTGGGGAAAGGAAAGTGATATAGTTATTCTGATTTGGTTGGATACAGGTAAGCTTAAATATCAAGGAGTGCCATTGAGGGAGAGGAGATAGAAATCGGTGCACTCAAGTATCTACTGTGGCCGAGCAGCCGAGGCATAATTGGACATTCGGATCAAGCAGAAGGCCGCAGTAACTGCTGGAGGTGGAGAGAGGGAACACTGTGTGTTAGGCTGTCAGGATTGGGCATCTTAAAATGCACACTTTGAACGCTGAATTTTAAGAATAATGCTGAAATGCTTTCTTTACCAACAGAAACCTGTTTCCTTCAAATCTTGTGGTTGCAGCTTTTCGAACGGTAAGGCTTAATGCTTTGCTAAAAGTATGAAACTTTGATGGGGTGGGGGATATATAAATTACTGCTATAGCATTTGATAAGATGGAACAGGGAGGGATGGTGTTGTTAACAAAACTTGGTAATGCTGTTCTAAAGTTTTATAGATGAGTGCCTGGAATAAAAATAAAACAAAAATCCCCAACATTTTTCTAAAATATTCTACTAGTTCCAATATCACCTGAGAAATAATCTCAGATCACATTTCGAGGCTCTCAAATATTTTAGAATTTTTAAAAAGTACACTTTTATCTTTTTTTCTGATTATAAAGGTAATGTATGTTCATTGCTAAAAAATAAAGTACAAAAAAGTGGAAGAAAATAAAAATCACCCATAATCACTACCTAGAGCTACCCATGAACATTTTGGTATATATCCTCCAGATCTGTTTTTCCTATACGCATGCCCACACATTTTAAAAATAATTATACTCTACATATTACTTGTATGTGCACATACTACACATGTTGTTTTGTAACCTGCTCTTATTTTAAAGCAGTATATTGTGATCATTTTCTCATTATCACAAATATCCTTCTGTATAATGTTCTTGGCTGTATCTTGCTGTATGAGCATATGATAATTTTACTCCATCAGTTTCTTGTTGATGGACATTCAGGTTGTTTCTAGTTTTTCCCTAATTTTAGCAATGCTGCAAGTAACATCCCTATGGCCATGCTTTATGTAGGGAAGGAATATAAAGGTCTGGATTAGATGGACTAATCAGATTGTCCTTTTCAAGCAAAGACTTTTCTGTTCTTATAGCCTCTCCCTTTAAAAAAAAAATCTGCATTTAAGCACAGCTGTGGTTTATATATAATGTGAGATAGGAGAAAAATAAAAGGCTTATGGCAGTGGTCCCCAACCTTTTTGGTACCAGAGATTAGTGCTCCTGTGAAAATCTGATGCTAGCACTGGGGAGCGGCCACAAATACAGACAAAGCTTTGCTCGCTCACCTCCTGCTGTGCAGCCTGGTTCCTAACAGGCCATGGACCAGTACCGACCGGGGGTTGGGGACCCAAGGCTAATGAGGTTTCAGTGTCTATCACAGAAGCTATGGGGCGGGTTTCGTTTCTCCTGCCACCCGTGATCACAGGACCACTAAGCAGCTCTGCTTGTCTGAAAACTTGATAAATCAAAGCTGAGAGAGATCAGAGCTTCTCAAAGACTGGCACAAAACAGGCCTCCAGAGCTGTACCTCCTAATGGGCTGCTCTTGACAGTTCCCAGTTCAGGTGTCCTTAGAAAAGGTCAGAAAGATTGTTTTATAGCAGATTCCACTCAACAGTGCGTGCTGCCACAGGGAGATACCTGAGCGTTGTAAAGAAGTATGTGAAGTCAAGTGTAGGGCCAAAGCTGGGGAGATGTTTTACCTCTGAGAAGTGGATCTTCCAGAGGACTCAGCTAGAAAACAACATCCTTATCTTTTGTCTTGGAGAGTGGAGGCTCAAGGCAAATAGAAACATGCCGAAAAGCAGTCACATTTCAAATAAGTTCTGAAACAAAGTGAAGCATAAATAAATGAATGAAAAATAAAACGACACATTGAAATTGAACTTTGGCATTATGGTGTTAATAACCAGTGTTCTCCAAATAATATGAGTTATCAGCTGTTTGAAATATCAAACCATCAGCATGAACTTGGGCAGACCTTCTCCTCCAAACCAATGTCCGAGGGACATAAGGAAATTCTCTCTGTGTCTTTGGGTTTCTAAGTAACCCAGAGGCCTCTTGGAGTGCATGTTGCCTTAGTCTTAAGTTACTTTTTACAGTTCTCAGAGGCCCTTGTCAAGACAATCAAATGAAGAATGCCTAGCACCCTCGGCGTGAGTAATGACAGAGTAGCAAGAGGCCCAGCAGTCCTCGTGGTTCCTCTGGGTCCATCTTTTCCTGTAAATTGACTCTGGGTTTTTTTTTCTTTTGTTCACAGTATGCAACTGATTATAGAGAGGTGATCCACAACACAAGCACTGGAAACGTAACCCGTGAAAAGGTACTGCTCTTTATAAGATCACTTGTGACAAATACTCAAAAAGCAAATAATGCTTCTTAATTGAATAGCCATGCACGATGCTGAAAACTTAGGGGTTTGGATGGTCTGTGTGAAGCACACGGGTTGGGTTCACACCTTTGGTTATTTATCAACATTGCTAAAGGCCAGTGTCTGCAGCTCTGGAATCTTTAGCAGATCCATTTCATCGAATTGGAACTAGCATCCCCTTATTTTGAAAAATTTACAACACCCATTCCGCTATCCTGAAATATAATTAATAGGTGATTTAACCTACTGCTAAACCTAGAACTTATCTTAGGGGCCTAATTTACTCTAGCCATCATTCATACACACATTTTTTTTGAGTACCTGTTATTTGTCAGACACTGGTCTAGGTCCCAGCCTTCATGATAGAGCTGGAAGGGACAAGAAACCTCAAGGATTTTTCAGTCCAGCTGCAGAACTGTCATGGGAAGGAAGAGGTACTTTGCCCTTTCTGTACCCCTACCATACACAGTCCCAGGGCTGAGGGACACTGAGTGCTACCAGCCTCTCTGATTAAATGAAAAGTTCCACTTAAAAACAAAAAAGGTGAAAACTACTAATTTAGTCCAGTTGACTTCATTTTGCAGATGAAGAACTTGAAGCTCAGAGAAGTTATCTAATGTCAGAGCTGGGATTAGAACTATGGTAAAAATGCTCTTTCTGTTTTGACCATGTCGACATATGGTTCCTGTTCAGAATTTCATAATATGTTTTGATGAAATAAAATGTCTGTCTAATATATGCTTGCAGTAGTGAGAGTCAGCATTACTGGAAAAAATGAAGAATACATTATATCTATATATTTTAAGTCGGTGATTTAGGAATGAATATCCTGAAAATATCCATGTTGATCCTGAAAAATCGTTTGTGGAAATTCATCAGCTGGGAGATTATTATAACAGCCTAGCAACAAAGAATTTGTCGACATTCGTTGACAAAGTTGTAATCACTGACTCTTGATCTGAAGGAACTTTTCACCAACCAGCTCTTCTTTTAAAAGCAACCTTTGAAGTGATTGCCCAACCTCTACTTGAATATATCCAGTGACTGGGAGCTCACTAATTTCTACTTCTACCAGGAGTGAACAGTTTTTGGTTAACTAGGTGAAATTCTTATATCTTGACTTTCCATTTCCTTAGACTCCATCTCCCCTTTTCTACCCCTTGATTTGTGAAATCGCTGAAGGTTAAAGAAAATATGAACCTTTTCTCATTCTGGGCATGGTGTTTCAGTCTGGTGAAGACACCTAGCAAATGCATCTTTAGTTCTCATTCATATATTGTAAACTTAGACTCTCTGTCCCCTCTGATTCTACAGATCCCCATTGGAACTGAGATCGAAGGGATGAACATTTTAGGGTTGGTCGTCTTTGCTCTTGTGTTAGGAGTGGCCCTAAAGAAACTAGGCTCTGAAGGAGAAGAGCTCATTCGTTTCTTCAATGCCTTCAACGAGGCAACGATGGTGCTGGTGTCCTGGATTATGTGGTAAGTGTTGCCTTACTGCCTATTCTTCCTCTCATTTCTCCTGCCATCCAGAAAAGAACCCGCTTCTGCAGTTCTAGGTCACCCCTATGGGACCACCTGGGCCAGGGCTCTATATGTGGTTGATGTACCACAGGTAGGCCCCATGTACAGGGATTGATGGAAGTGGAGGCAGTTTCTCCTCTTGTCCAGGACTTCGGAGAATCAGGCATGTAGCATAGTTACTAGTTTCTTCCTCAGCTCCCACAGTGACCCTTTATGGTTCCCACAGTGACCCTTTATGGTTCATCAGTGATTTATTTATGGGTTCCCACCATCATTCCATATCATATGGGATGCCCATATCAGCTTGTGGGACAATGAAATCCATAAGTTTGCTATCTGCTGCATAAAATAAGACTCCACTAAAAACAATAGACTTCAAGCTTCAAAAGGGTCCCTTACTAAAGTATTTCACAACATGGAGAACAGAACCAACTTCACCCTATGCATATATCAACTTGGAATGGTCTCTTTTTTTATGTAAATGTTTCTTTATGTAATATCAATCAAAGTGTACTTGTTTAATAAAAAATGGTAGATCGATTTTTTTCTTTTTTTTGCTGAAAGGTAAAAATTAAACCAGATCTCTCATAGTAACTTCTCAGAAATTATACCAGCTCCGGTGGCAATCACTCATAAACTTTATCCTGTTGTCTTACTCAAGCCAAACTTCTATAGATTTTAGCTTCTGCCATTCTTTTGTCAAAAAACTATCCTTGTATGCACAGAGCATTTTCCTAATCGTCAATCCTTAAATATCCCAGAACTTCTCTCTATCAGATGGCATTGGCGTGGCAACTGGACTAATTTTAGGAGAGAAGCCTGGAATTTGGTAGGAAAGTTTGGAATTGAGTGGGAGGCCAAGTTCAGAGCCCTCGCTGGTGGTGTTTATTTTGCTCAACCAAATTTTCTTGCTCAACCAAACATTTCAGAGTCTGACTCTTATCATTGCAAACATGATACTTCATATGACTGTTGTTGTTCTGGGGAGAGAAATCGTTTCAGAAAGGAAAAACTGTTTTCATTACAGGTTAAGTTCTTTTCCTGGCTTATTTTTGTAGTCTAAAGGTTTCTCAAAGTTTGGATTAAAGGAAACTCTTTGCTAGAAAGTGATGTTCCTATATTAAGGCATTTGTTTTCAATCTGGAAACCAATTTACAATCATTTCTTCAATTTGATGTACTAGTTACATAAACAGGTATTCAGTAAGGCAGTCCCTATTGAGTGTCTAACTGTAGTGCTTGATCTATTGCCCAGAAAGTGCATCTCACACAGAACTGGGGTTTAAAATGCCTTAAATGGTTAAAGGATCTCAATCAGATGTGGTAAGGATCTTCGGCAGTAGCTTTTTCTGGTTCTTTTCTTCACTAATTACCTACTTCAATGTCAAAACACCTGCCTCGCCTGCACTATTCACAGAAATAACTTCTCAATGGATTAAATACAGGGCCAAATACTTTGTAAGCCATACGATCTCTATTGTAACTACCCAGCTCTACCATTGCAGGACAAAAGAAACCATAAAAGATTTGTAAATAAATGAGTGTGGCTATGTTCTAGTAAAATTCATGGTACTTAAACTATCCAGGGAGGAAGGAGAAAGCAGGAGTCCTCTAAAAGTATTAGTAGAAAACATGGGAATAGGGAAAGTCTTCCTAAACAGAATACAAAAAGTAAAGGCTGTAAAAAGCTGCTGTATTTGACTACATCAAAATATAAAATGTGTGCATGCAAAAGATACCTTGAACAAAGTTTTTTTCAAGTACCTTGAAAAAAATTGACATATATTTGCATATAGTATGTATGTGTACACACACACACACGCACGCACACACACACACACACACACACACACACACACACACTCAAAGCATTAGTATCTAAAGGACTGGTACCACCAGTTCACAAACTGTTTTTCTGTCCGCAGTGAGATTTATAGGGAAATTGAGAATAAGTGTTTAAAAACTTTTATAGCAATTTCAAATTGTTGCAATATGCACACACACCATTTTCTAATATTTTGTTTCTATTGTCTTTTATAAGGATATTGTCCATGACCCACTGGTTAGAAGTAAACAGGTCTTTCACCAAAGATGATTTAAGAAGCACAAATATAGAGTTCTGATTACCAAAAAGGAAAAAAGACTGAATAAACTATTAGAAAATGGACAAAGTATGTGAGCAGACAATTTATAGAAGAGGAAACCTGAATGACCAATAAACATTTTAAGGGATGCCCACCTTATGAAAATCAGCAAAATGGAAGTTTGGTTTTATCTGGTGTTGGTAAGGGCGAGGACAGGGCTTCTCAACAGTAGCTCTGTTGACGTTTGGGCTGGGTCATTCTTTGTCGTGGGGGCTGTCCTGTGCATCATAAGAGGTTTAACGGCATCCCTGCCCTGCAGTCTACTAGATGCCAGTAACGCACCTCCCCCCCCCACCCCCCCCGCAAAGCTGTGACAACCGAAACTGTCTCCAGACATTGCCAAATACTTGCCGAAGGCAAAACCATGCCCGGATGAGAACCAGTGGTTCATTGAAAGGCTAGATAGCTGGTGGGACCATGAATTGGAACAGCCACTTTGGAGAACCATGTGTTGGTCTACTAAAGCTTAAAGTATGCACACCCCGTGCCTCAAGCAGCCCCCTTTCACATTGTCTCTATGGAGAACACACAGGCATGTGGGCACAGAGGCCTGTTTGCAGCATTATTTTTAATAATGAAAATCTGGGATCAATTTAAATATCCATCAGCAGGGAAGTAGCAAAATATAGTATTTTGTTTCTGGGGACAATACTTAAAAATAATGAGATAAAGCTGGTAACAGCCAAATGTCCATTGATGAATAAACGAAATGTGGTATATATATTTAAGGGAATAGTATTCAGCCATAGGAATGAAATTCTGACATGCTACAACATGGATGAACCTTAAAAACATGCCAAGTGAAATAATCCAGACACGAAAGTACAAACATTGTACAATTTCATTTGTAATAGGTACCTCCAATAGTGACATTCATAGAGACAGAAAGTAGAACAGTGGTTACCAGGACAGGGGAAGTGGGGATGGGGGTTATTGTTTAATGAGTACAGAGTTTTAATGTGGGATGATGAAGAAGTTCTAGAGATGGATAGTGGTGATGGTTGCACAACAATATGAATGTACTTAATGCCACTAAACACTGCACTTAAAAATGGTTAAAATGGTAAATTTTTATGTTATGCATATTTTACAACAATTAAAAAATAGAATGATCTATATATCTATGTATTGGTATGAGAAGATCTCGAAGACATAATGTGGGGTTAAAAGTAAACATGCAGATTTAAATACGTACCTATGTATCTAAATAGAAATGGTTAACATCCACGGGGACGGGGAATGAAGGGTTGGCTTGAGGATGGTACCTAGAGAGAATTTTGGCCTAATCTCTAATGTCTTAATTTTTTGAAAAGAATATGTTCATGTGTTACTATAGGATTTAAAATTAATAGTACTACTTGGAATATCTCTGGAAAGAAAGTTCAAGAAACCAGTGACATCGGCTTTGCTCAGGGAAGGAGACTGGGCACTTGGGGGACAGAGGTGGAAGGGAGACTTTATGCTATTCATGCTTTTGTACCCTTTGAAATTTGAACAGTGTGACATTATTATCTATATAATTAAAATGTATGGAAAAAGTCAATGGTCGTAAAATTCCTAATGGTTATTAAAATTCTTCCTTAATTATAGAAACGACTGACTTTTATTCTTTGTAGCTCCCACAGTTTATTCCTTCCCTTCCTTCTTCCCATCCTGCCATTTAAAAAATCTTCACGCACCAGGAGTGTTCCCAGAGGGTCATTGTTAATGATTTTTTCCCACGGAATCATGTTTTCCAAACCACAAAGAATTTAAAACTTCACAAAAGTCCCAGCTTTGTCTCAATTCTGTGTCCCAGGAGTTCTGTGAAAAAGGTGTTAGTCTTTTGTGTTTCTAAATTCTCAGAACAGGCCTGAACAAAGCCAAAAGTCAAACTACAGTCCCAGAGGCTATAATCTTTTGAAGAGTTCTTTGCCTTTCCACTTCGGAGTCCATGTGGTTGGTAGCATCTGTCTGTCAAGAATGTGACATATCCAAAGGGAAAGTAGTCTGGTTTCTGTCCTGACTGCATAGTAATGTATCATGTTAACTTTATTCAGCTTCAGGGTCTGTAAGATGGGCCCATCCCTTTCTATTCCTCAGGGTCATCCGAGGGAGAAGTGACTGCCTAGTCAAAAGTCCCTAAGTTCTGTATCAGGAAGGGCCTGCATCTCCCAGCCCTTCCTCACATCACTTATTGACACGTATGCTATGCTCATGCCCTAGGTACGTGCCTGTAGGCATCATGTTCCTTGTTGGAAGCAAGATTGTGGAAATGAAGGACATCATCGTGCTGGTGACCAGCCTTGGGAAATATATCTTCACATCTATATTGGGCCATTTTATTCATGGAGGAATTGTTTTGCCACTTATTTATTTTATTTTCACACGAAAAAACCCATTCAGGTTCCTCCTGGGCCTCCTCACACCATTTGCCACAGCATTTGCCACCTGCTCCAGGTAAGTGGGTTTCAGGTGCCCTTGGCTGCTCTGAACTGTTTTAGTATGGAACCAGGTGAGCCCAGTGGTAGATGCACAACCGGCATCTTGACATATTTTAATTCTTTGAAAACTCTAAATTGATCTCATCTGATTTTTTGTGTTATCAGCCTCACAGCTTGTATGGAAGCGGATTTCTGGGATTGCCAAAATGAGGGATTGCCTCATTCCTTCTCCTTCTCCCACCTCCCTGGAGGCCAACCAGATCATTATTTAGCCCATGGGAACTATAGGTCCTCACCCTAATTAGTAGTAAGGCCTTTGCCAGAGTAAAAGAAGGCAGCTACTTCACCCAAAACGCACTGTAGGGAAGTTTCTAGAATGACACCTGCCCCTTTCTCCCTCTGGATGTGTGAATTAGAAAATAAGACCAAGGCATCATGGTGAGGGATGTGCGCTCAGCTCACTAGGAGTCCACAGTTTTGTGAAATTATCTAAGCACAAGAGATGCACCTTGTCGTTATTGGAAATCCTTCAAAAAAATTAGGCTTTCCAAATACATCAAAGAAAACTTTGAAAGGATGGTAGCACATTGTTTTAGTCTCACAGTTAGTTTTTTGCCTCTCTACTGTATATTTCCTCCCATCCTGAAGGACTATTTTTATGACAATCATATGACTATTTATATTCGTGGTAAAAAGAATTAGAGAGGTCAGTTTCTCTGGCTTAGACAGAAACAAACCTACTTATCAGTTGCACCAGCTACCCTCTGCGAAGCCTGCAGAGGCAGCTGGAGAGAGCAAGTCTTGTTTTTTTCCAAGTCATCTATATAAACAGTTACTCCTTCCAAACTCTCAGAGCCATTTCTGTTTCTTGGCCTAAAAGAAAAAAAAAAAAATGTTAGTTTGCCGTGTACTTGGGGAGAGGCAGGCGGACATTCAAGAGAGGAGATGCACACATAGAGTTAATAGTTCTTGTTCTCATGAGAACATTTTGTACCACAAGACAATGTGTGGTTCTTGAGAAATTTGAAACAGGTGTATCCAGGTAAATAACATAACAGATAAATCTAGGGAGTCAGATTTTGAATACTTTGGAAGTTGACAAAACCCCATGTTGTGACAGAAACTTCGAAACAATTCGGATTTTTCTCTTATTTCAAAAGAGAAAGCCAGAAACTAATTGCTCTGTTCCAGGGTCTGAGCTAAGTAATATGTTGCCCTTGGAAGGACTGTTCTCATGGTTGGTGGTTTTCCATTTCTAGCTCAGCAACTCTTCCCTCTATGATGAAGTACATTGAAGAAAACAATGGTGTAGACAAGAGGATCAGCAGGTTCATTCTCCCCATCGGAGCCACTGTAAACATGGATGGAGCAGCCATCTTCCAGTGTGTGGCCGCGGTGTTCATTGCCCAGCTCAACAATGTAGAGCTGAAGGCGGGACAGATTTTCACGATTCTGTAAGTTCATCATTCCTTTTTTCATCTTAAGGCCTAGGTCAAAACTTGAGGTATTTCTCGTGATTTCCTTTGAAAAACCTCATGAATACCAATCTCTCTATGACTTGGATGTCTCATTTATGAAATGAGGACAGCATGAATTCATTACTTGAAGAGGGTAGATTATCTCTCCTAGGCTCACCCGGCAGAACCTAGGGTTGCATGGTTTTCAGTTTCCAAGCCATGGCTGCTGCCATGTTCTACATTTCTCTGTACCCACACCATGCTCTGTGTGCCATCCCCTAGAGTGACGGCTACAGCGTCCAGTGTTGGAGCAGCAGGCGTGCCAGCTGGAGGGGTCCTCACCATCGCCATTATCCTGGAGGCCATTGGGCTGCCCACTCATGACCTCTCTCTGATTCTGGCTGTGGACTGGATTGTGTAAGTAGAACAAAAGAAGTCTGTATTGGGTTCCCTAGGAGCTTGGCACTCTGTTGGGCCTGCGGCATGTGGAGAAACTTCAGACATGTTCCCTGCTTTGTGAAGGAGCCCCCAGTTGAGCTGGCAAGACAAAATTTAGGGCTAGGAAAAATTCAAAAACGTGTGAGTCAAAGGCTCATGAATGGCCACGAAATGTCATTACCAAGAGCATCCAGGAAAATGTGGGGCCACCAACGCAGGCCCAGGGCGGGCACAAAAATCTGTGGAGATTGTTGACTGCATGGGAGTCGTAGCCTTGGGAGCAATGAGCTTCCGAGAATGATCGTCCTTGGCCTGGAAAATCCAAGGAGTGATTTCTTGAGAGAAGATAAACCCAGCTATGTGAGTGCTTGGCTTAGGCTTAGGGGAGGAGTTAGGAAGGAGGCATGATGCAGACCGCCATCACCAGGGCTCCTGGAAGGACACAAAACAGTTTCTGAGTGTTGATTCCGTGAGTTGCATGATAGCTTTTTCAGGTATGAACAATACCTGTGTTATAGGGAAAATCAGCTGAGATACTGGTGTTGGACAATAGAGCATATAGATAAGAAAATGAGCCCTGGAGCCCAGGGACCTGGGTTCAAATCCCAGCTTTGCCATTTACTACCTGTGTGATAGGATTGTTATGCACTTTGTCTGCTCACCTGTGAAATGGGAATAATAGCACCTCCACCAGAGTCGCAGTGGAGATTAAATGAGTTCACACATACACAGCACATAGAAGAGTTCCAGGCTCGGGAGAAAGCATTCAGTGTGTATCAGTGAAGAAAGACACTGATGGCCAGGCTAGCAGAGCCCAACATGGGAAAACCGAAACACTGGGGCCTGGCACTGGGCTCATGGCTCTGTCCACTGGTTGGGAATGGTGGTTTCTAACCTTTTTTCTTAAGCCCTGGGCTTCTCAGAATCCTTATGGCTCCTCAGAGCAATGAGAGAGACCCGCATTGTCCAGACA